CTTAAAAAAAAATCCATAAAAAAATGTGAAGAATGGGTTTTTTTTTCACCCCCCCCCCCCCCCAAAAAAAAAAAAAAAAAAAAAAAAATATATATATATATATATATATATATATATATATATATAAAAAACTGCATGTCTTCCTGAAATAAGAGCTTATTTTCCCACTGAGCGATGATGATCGTTCAAAATGCTAATTTCAATAGCATTTTTAAATGTTGCTGACTGTAGTTTTAAGTCAGCAAAAGTGTTGTTTTAGACCAGGGGTGCCCAAAGTCGGTCCTCCAGGGCCGGTGTCCTGCATGTTTTTAGTTTTCTCCCTGGTTGTACTAACAACCTTTTCAGCTTGTCAATGTTCTTCTTAGGCTTCTAACGAGCCATCATTTGATCCAGGTGCGTTAAACCAGGGAGAGAGCTAAAACACGCAGGATGCCGGCCCTCCAGGACCCACTTTGGGCATCCCTGTTTTAGGACAACACTTCCTAAACAGTGTTGTCCTAAAACAACACTTTTAGGAATTTTAAAAATCCTAAAAGCTCTTAGCAAAATAGAAAAAAAAAAAAACCCCAACAACAAATAAGCTGAATGGGGTCATTTTATGAGCTGGAACTGCTAATAAATATTCAGATTCAGAGTTCTGGTCCAACTAGTTGCACTACATTATGAAATGGGAACCAGGCCCGGGCCTGTGAGCTTTTAACTCTAGGTGAGAGTGCACAGTGTTACCTGATACAATCAGGCAAAGCCATCTAGGAATAGATAGGCCCTAAATTTAACATACAAGACACATAGGATCAGGTTATGGGAGGTCCATTTGTTACACACATGAGAAAAAAAACAACAACATTGAGCTAGTAAAAACCCATTAAAACTGATTAAAGGTATACCATGGTTTTAAAATCAGTTTGAAATCTTCTTTTAATGAGACCCCAAAGAAAGAACGAGCAAGAAGGGTTTTCAGCAGCTGTTGGGGAGCGTAGCGGATCTCCACACGGCCCCTCCCTCACCTACTGTTACACACTGTTACTCAACTGGCTTGGAGAAAGCTACCCTGTGTCCCTCCCCCCTTCCAGGGAAAACAAATTTAGCTGTTTGGAAATATTTCCTTTTAGCAGCAGCGGGAACATTATTTTTCATTTTTGGTCTTAAACAAAAGCAAGTTAGACGTTTGTGTAACTTTTCCGTGAGTATTGAGAATACAGGTTGAAACCTTCATGCGTTAAACAGAACTGAAACACCAAGATCAGCTACAATCCGGCTTCAGGGGCAGAGAAGACGCTAAGTAAAACTGTTGTAGTAGCCGACCTACAGCTGCACACTGACAGTCAGCTGCAAACAGGCGAGGCTTTACCCCCAGTATACGAGAAAGACGAATTCAGTGGTTTGGAAATATATCGTGCTGAACTGGTAAAATTTGTGCTAGTGATTAGATCATGTTAGCAATCAAATTGTGTGATCGGCGTACATCGATTGTGTCCAAATGTGATTCGGTGAAACTGGTGTATTTCTACCCAAAGCCATATTAAATATAAAAAATATATACGCTCAGGACTCCTGATCCAAAGATGGCGTCCAGCACTACTGTCACACAAATAAAGTTTCAAAAGTTATAATGCAAAAATATAAAACCATACCAAGTATTTTTGGTTTAGTTTCTAGTGCAAATATCTTAGTACAATTGAAATAAAGCAAAACTAGCTGACAAGTAACTTTATTCCATGTTATTAGTGAAATAATATGTCAGTGGAGCTAGTACTTTTTAAATCAATAATAAGGAATTATTGATCAAAACCAAGCTTCTAAGAATAAATACTCGTAAGTTAGTTTTGTCTTAATCCCAGTGCACTAAGATATTTGACCAAATATACTTGATAAGATTTAGTGTTTTTGCAGTGTATTGATATCCAACAGGAGCGCAGACTTGCATAGAGCTGCTGCTTTATGGCATTTTTAGTGTCATACACACAGACAGCAATGCGGCTTCTAAAATTCAAAGCAGATGGAAAGAGGATGCCATTATCTATTATTTTTTTTTATCTTTTTCTAAAGGGCGTAGCCTCTGCTTTGTGAATCTGGTCTGGTCACTTCGTGCTGAAACTAAACAATCACCAGACTGAGTTTAGCTAAGGGCCATAACGAATGAGGAGTAGGCGAACTAATTAATGCGATGTAATTACACGACAGCCTCTCACCTGTAACAGTCACTATGATGTACTGGGGCGAAGCGCTCTGGCCATTACTCTTCTGGACAGCAGCGTGCTGGATATCAGGGCCCACGTAGTGCTGCGTGGGCGTAGTTGGCACCACTGCCTTCTGGCTCTGGGTGGGTGGCGCTTGTGAACAAAGTGCATCCTGTCCTGCTTTAGAGGCCCTGGCCGCTTGGCTGGCCGACGAAACGCTTCCAGAGGCTGCCGGGAGCTCGGACAGGAAGTGTGCAGTTTTGGCAGATGAGGGCGTGGTGGTAGCAGGCGTTGCTATGGTTACTGCGTTGGCCTGCTGAGGCTGAAGGTCCTCAGAGTATCCACAAGTCGCCATGGCAACCAATCCGTTGAGGCACCAGTTCTGTGGATGAAAAGGAGGCAGCGCTCATTAACTAAAGTGCCGGGAACAAACAATGAAACCCAAATTGCTTACTTATTATCGATACACTACATGTTTTTACTCAAGCAAACCTTGTGTGCACTATTTTGTGTGTGTGTGTGTGTGTGTGTGTGTGAAGCAGAATAGGTCTAAGAACTCAGGAGTTTCCTTTTTTTTAAATCTGGTAAGAATGTTTTAATAATAAATAAGAACATGACCTCTCTTTCTAACTAATTTCTCTCACCTAATTTTATGTCAGTCTTTCACGCACAAGTGAAATATATTAAGTGATAATAAGTTCATTTGTATTGCACTTTTAAGGAACAAGGCAAATGCAAATCAAAATGCTTTACACAATAAAAGCAGAAGACAGCACCCAATTATGAAGCAAGCAGTAAGCATCACATCTTGTCAAATACCATCGTCAAAAATCATCAGGAAAATATAAATTAAGCACATTGATCAATGCTGCTAATCAAAGGCAGCTCTAGACAGGTGGTTTTTCAGCCTTGATTTAAAGAAACTCTGTTTCAGAATTTTTAGGTTTTTTTTTTTTTGGAAGTTTGTTTCAAGTTTGTGCACAAGCCTAATATGGGAAGCAATTTTATGACATAATATGTGGACAGAAACCTCCAACCAGATATTTGTCAAATCAGTTCTTCATATTTAAATAGAATATTTATTTCAGCTGCGCAAAAATACTGTTTGTGTCATTTCAGTTATCTTCAAATGTCATTCCTGCTACAATAAATGAGGCCACTGCTACAGCTCCTGATATCTGCCAGAAAATCCATCATATGTGCCTGATTTTTTTTTTGACTAAGTAATCACATTTTACATAAGACCTCACTGCAGCAGTGAGAAACATGAGAATGAACAATTATGAATAAATTAGATAGATTGGGTTTATTATTACCAGTACTTCAAAAAGGTGTTTTAGACATCAGCAAAGTAATTTCTGGCTGGAGCACACATGGAGTCATTTAACCCTTCAGTATATAAACCAGCAAGCAGAGTTATCCTGTTACCATTTGGAGGTTGCTATGGCAATCAGGTTATAGAGAGTACAGCTGCCTTGGATCAAGGCCAATGAAATAATAACTAACTAATAAATTGAAAACTCTTGGTAATTTTGTTTAACTACCATACAGACTTTACTGGATTGGAAGAATTATTCAGAATAATTTCCTAACGATTGTGTTAAACTCTATTTATACTATTGATTACACTTGGACATCTAAAATGCAAAGTCTTATACAACTTAAGGGAGGAAATTCGGGTTTTTGAAACAAAAATAATTACCTACATGATGGATGAAAAGTTGATCGCAGGAAAGAGTTGAAATCTGATGTATTGTTTATGTAAACGACAAATGTACAACCCATCAAAGCATCGCTTATACCCTCTGATGTTTCTTTTACATATTAAATCATTTTCCCCCATTTAAATATTTCTAGCTGAAACCTTGAAATACTTGTTTTAAATAGATGTCTTTCATTTAATACTGATACGTAAAAAATATATATACATACTCCGACAAGGGGGAACCGTGTTATTTGCATTTAAAAGTAATTAGTAATCGCAGTGTGATTTCACAAACGGCCTGCCATACCCTCCACTCCCCACAACTCGTCGATCATGTGGCACACCGTGCGCTCGGGAGTGACTTCAAGAATCCAATGTCACACCAAAAACTTTTTCAAAGTCGTAAAAAGATTGTTAAACATACGCATCTCTCATTTTCAGAACGCATGCACACTAAAAATGTGTGCGTGTTTGACTCGCGTCGATGACTAATGCAGTTAGACAGCTGCTTGATAAGTGAGTTCAGCGCGAGAAAGTGATACGTAGCTTTCCTCGCTAGCAGCCTGCGTCGACTTGTGACGTTTAAGTGAGCTAGCTGCCTACTAGCTTCCTATATCTCAAGTGGACAACCACGCTACACAATCACGCCTCAGCATAGTTTCGTGGAAACTGTCAAAAAACCAACACGAACATGAGGTCAGATAGAGCTAAAATTAAAAATAAAAAAAAAGTACAATTGGCACTAGAAGCCAGCCGCCATCTTGTGCTCTTATCAAAGATCTGACATCGCCATAACAACGGTCTGCGTTTGGAAAGAAGCTAGCAACCACTTTTCATCACACGACACGCTCGACGGATTTCACGTTTCACCATAAAACGCACCAGCACACGCATGTAATCAACATAAAAAATACATGATCACTTCTGAGATGTTTTCACCTGTATTTCCCGGCGTTGTCCTGAATAGTCGATAAAGTTTATTCCTTTTGATCCCGCTTGTTGTTGTTGACTCCGGTTGCTTGGCTCTTGTCGCCAGGACTACCGTGACTATGGCGCCTAGCCTTCACCGGGGCAACTGTTGCTACCCTCCATACATTGTGCCGCCCCTTCTCAAATGCTGATTGGCTTACACGTGAGGCGGTTCTAACGTCAGTGCAATATTCGCTTTCTGATTGGGGGACAGGTTCTGTCTGTAACTTTCACAGAGGCCTGGCATTAAATCGCCACTTGTGGTGCTGTAATTCTTTTGTAAATTGCACACTGTTGATTGATTAAATCTGAAATTATTTTTTCTTGTTTAGTCATAATCTTTATAAATTCCCAGTATTTTATGCAAGATTGCACAGAATACATTTTACGCTGAGCTCTTGGGACACAAATTACTTTAAAATCCAGCAGCAAAGTGGACAATTACTTGGTAAGTTGCAAAAGGCTGCAGAGGTACTCAATTCATGAATCTCATGTTCTATTTGCTTCTAATCAACCAGTGCGTGTTCTTGTCTTGAGAGAGCACTTCCAGTTCCTGTTTGTGCTTTTTCCATTTGAGATTAGCTTTGATGCTGCTTTGTAAAATACATCAAGAACCAGGATCAGAGATATGGAGCCTTGCTATCTTGCAGATAGCACATAATTGTGAAATCAAAAATGATACATACATACATACATACAAAAAACACTCAATAAACATTGAAAAAAGGCACACTGATTACATCAGACCAACTTTTTGTCCTAATGGTGATGCCCAATCCTGAAGCCATTTCCTATATTTCTGAACAAAACAAAACAATAATAAGGACAGAGTATCTTGTGTGTGTCACCAGCCTATGGCATCGTGGGGAATTTTTGGCTGAATGGATTGTAATCTCCATCCAAAGTGGAATAGATATCGACAAGGAGACGATGCTGATGACATAGGGCACAACCTGACTGATGTCAGGGACTGAAAGGCCAGCTGAAGGTCACAGGTGATTGGATTACCGAGAGTTCTGTTGACACCAGTTCTCGCATCATTCTTTTTCTGCCAGCATTGTTGCCCCTAAAGGTTACCAGTTTTATCTCTCAGGATGCTGATAAGTGGAAGTGAGGCTCTGAAGCCTTTATAAAGTGATCAGACCATCCAAAAATAAAAGATAAAAAATAAATATCCTGAGTCACAGAGACATTCATTCTTTCAGCATGTTGAAAGGAGCCCTGCTGACATTAGGCCTGTTCATGGTATTTGTGCACCTTGCGCAGTGTACCGACGGTCATTCCTCATTTTATGGGGTAAAACTGTGCGGAAGAGAGTTCATACGAGCCGTCATTTTCACATGTGGTGGTTCTCGCTGGAGAAGAAGCGCGGAAGACTCAGGTAAGATAATAAAAATTCACTTTGAATTTATGGCTATTTTCATCATTCAAATTCAGATCTTCTTTTCTGTCCCTAAAAGAGAAAAGATTGCATTGACAATCATAGTAACAAACAAAAACAACAACCAGTAATCAATAAAATAATAAAACAATGTTTAAAGTAGTTTATTGAGAGGTATAAAAACTGATAGAAAACCAAACAAAAATAACAGCAACAAGAAAAGATAAAGAAAGTCTAGTAGTTCAAAGTGAAAATTAAACATCTGATGTAATTGCACCTGTAATGAATGTGCAATTATTTCTTTGACTCCCTTTGTTAGGGAGGAGGTATGTTTTTCTTGAAAGAAGAATAAATTATAAAAAGGGACCAATCATTTGGCCAGAGAACAAAATTTACCAGTTTTTCTTGAATGACTGTAATTGGTGATCTACTGGTCAAATAGTTAAAAATCTGATTCCCCTCCTCTCCCCCCATTCATTAAATTTGTCAAAACTAACAATTTACCTTCTAAAACCTCATCAAACAACAACCTGCAAGTGCTATGGGCATGTGGCTTGATTCAACAGATTGGGATAAATCTTGCATTTCTTTATTTTCAGTTGGACTAAAAACTACTACTTCTATCAAATTTGCAGCTCAAGCCTTAAATAAAACCTTGAATCTGCACCAGCCAGGATAAACATCATCAGCTCATCTCTAACAAGTTCCTTGTAAAGCTTTCTGTGAGCCTTTTCTGTCACTGCAACGCATCGCACAATGCTGCTGTTCACCAGCTTTTTCACAGGCACCAATCACAAAATTGGACAGACATTTTTGCTTTGTAAAAGATCGAAATGAAAGGAGATTGTACAGGTTGTCACACTTGTTTATGTGACACTTCTTTAAAATAAAACCACTGAAGCATTTTTTTTTTTTTTTACATGAAATGTTTTCAGTTTGCACACAAAAAAATAAAAAATACCTTAAGGGTCATTTTTGTAGATTGCAGGAATGTTGTAGTTATCCTGGATCAAGTTTTTGTTAGTCACTGTCTTGAAGAACCTACCACAATCAGTCATTTCCCCAGCTAAAAAGAAATGACTGATGTAGGAAGAAAATGATTTATATGTCCTTAATTAATTAGTAAATGGATAGTTTGACATTTTTATTCCTGAGTGAAACACTTGATGTGAAAAGAAACTAAATTTAACTGGTATGGAAAGCAGCCACGTGAAATGTTTCATGTTACTCAGCTTTAGTTTTACATTAGTCACTCAGACTGGAAATGCTTTTGCTCTCAACAAACATCTCAACTATTAAAAGATTCTTGCAACGGCATTTGCATAATCCGCTATGACGTTCTTGATTTGTTTTAAGATGGTTTTAGCTACCTTTAGTCTTGAATCCTCTTGGGAATGTTGTTGCCTTCAGCCACAGGACTAACTAACTAACTAACTAACTAACTAACTAACTAACTAACTAACCTGGATTTAGAATAAATGAAAACACTAAGATAGTTATCTACTGCAGGTGAAATATGAACTGCTTATAAGATTTTAATAGAGACGAAGGAAGTGGATGCTGCATCGTTCCATAAAGTCTGTCACAACTTGATGGCTAACTTCTCCATCCTGTAGCAGACTGACTCACTATAACTGTGCCATCAGCAAATTTCAGGTAATTCCTGAGTGCTGCAACTTTTGCTGTCGTTAATATATAAAATCACACAGAAACAGAAAAAAATAACACTCTCCCTGTAGAGAGCCAGTGACCAACATCATCGTGCTTCTGTGTTTTCTCTGATGTCAAACCAGGATTTTGATACATGTTCTCCTTTTAATCAGGCCTTATTGGTGAAGAAATCCTGGATCTGTGGCGGGCGAATCCAATCCCTCAGCTTTCTGAGCAAGATCCTGCTAATTCCCAAGCACTGAAAGATCAAGTGATGAATGCTGTTGGGTTCAGCCGCTCAGCTCGCTCGCCGCTCTCAGAGGAATTGCTGGAGGCTCTGCGGGGGGCAGGCAGGAAAGGACGGGAAGTAGAGTTCGGACTGTCCAACGCTTGCTGCAAGTGGGGCTGCAGCAAGAGTGAGATCAGCTCTCTTTGCTGAAGATGATTTACCCCCCTTAACTGACTGACATGCAGAATTTTTTTTTTAAATCCCATGTTAAAACTAATGATTTTTCATATATTAATGAAAAAAACTGCTACTGTGACTGTCATATGCTGAAAAAGTGTTTAATAAAGTTTCGAGTTATCGATTTATAATCTGTTCCTCTGAAAAGAACAAATGTGATATTTCATGCAATTAAAGGTGTTTCCACTTACACGAAATCTTGTTTCACAAATTGTGTTGTCGAGTATTTCAAAATAAAGGAAGGAGTGATGACAATACAGAGAAGACGTAAATGAGTTTCGAAAAGACATAATTTGTTATGAAATATAATTTTGTCCTGCAAGTTACAACTCGGGTGCCTTTTATTATGGGAGATTTGTTGTGTGCTTCAATAAGCTCCTTGTGTTTTGCTACCTTTATTTTTAAACAGGAGGACCTCCAGAAAGAAGAACACAAGAAATCATTCAACTGAGGTGAAGTATAATGTGAAATCCTGCCTTTTATGTATGAATTTGTGCTTTTAAGGATAATTCTAGAGATGCCAGTATGCAATAACCCGTCAAGCAAAAGCGGTGTCAAAAGAACAAACCCTTGTTTTGAATAAGAAAACAAGGTATCACATAATAGCATCAGTAAAACAAAATATACATGCTTAAATACAAAGTGTGATTATTATTTATTACTAAATTTATTATAAATGAATATTTGTCTAATTTGTCTAGTTTATTTCATCCAAATGAGCATCAAACCAATACCTGTTGCATGTAGATGTTAATCAATCATGTTTGAACTACGGCAATCAGAACTTGGCGCCATCTAGTGGCCAAGAGTAGAGCTCAAAAGAAGTTATATACAGTATTCACGAAATTAAACGCGCAGCGTATTTTTGTACCAAAAAGATACATTTTAAAAACCGAACAGCCACACTTACAATAAGAAAAAGGCAGTTATTTTAAAACATGTCTTACTGCGTAATCACCTGGTTCAGCTCTGTTGTCTACGGAAGCCGGCAGGAATCAAACAGGTCACCCGGCTTGATCGCAAGGCATGCAATCTCTGTCATACACAAGCTAGCGTAACAAATACACAGACCTACAGAGACTGTCGCGTTTTTTTTACACAGTCACACAGATAGCTGCGATATTTTGTTTAATGTTAGTTTTTTACAGCGTGACTGCACTCTTTTCCGTACAAATATAAAACCAGCATACCGGAGTAACCAGGTAAAATCTTTCGCGCTACTTTCATACAGATGCTAGCTAGACATGCTACATGTTCTAGCTTTGGGTTGATGTCCAGTTGTTTATATCATGCATATGGAAGCCTTTCTGTCATTGGTGTTAATTACACGTTCAGATATACAGTACAGTGACCGGGAATCTGTGTAATTTACGCTTTATAGCTGTTCAAAACTAGTGAATATGCATTTTAACCCATGTTGACGTTAAGCTAGCTTGCTAGCTGTCTCAGAGACATTGCGCCGTCTGGGCCTCATGTAGAAAACACTCCTAAGCTCTTAGTTTATAACTTATTACAACTTACCGAAGCTAATTAACCGTGGTTTAGCACTCGCTTGTATTAATTTTGGGATTCATACATCAGAAAACAGGAAATGCTCCTAGCCCCTCATGCTATCAAACCGGGTTCTCGATATTATTTTCAGCCTTTTTTCATTTTCTGAGTATTTCAAAAGCCAGTTTCTGTTTGAGGCAAATAATATAACGGATGATCAACTATCATTAGTGAGTGGCTTCCTTGTTTTCTACGTACAGGTGTGAGTGAGAGCACTTAGAGGCGTTGTTGTCGTGCCTTTCAGACAGCTCATCAATGTGTTATCTTCACAGAATGGAGTGGCAGCCAGACGAACAGGGTCTGCAGCAAGTGCTTCAGCTGCTCAAAGATTCCCAGTCCCCAGATACAGCCACTCAGAGAGCTGTGCAAGAAGTATCCTTACCTCTCAGTCTGTGTGGAAATTTAACCATGTCTAAATGGATGCCTGGTGGAAAGCTGCTTTGCGGTGTTGCCTCACTGCAAAATGTTTGGTGCAAACCCAAGCTGGACCTTTTCAGAGTGGAGTTTGCATGTTCTGTGTGCAGGCACTCCGGCGTCTCCCAAAAGCCCAGGGTTTCTCTGTAAGCTGGAAAAGTATGGAATTTGATTCAAGTATTTTCCAGGTCTGGATTAGTAAGGAAAAATACATTTAATCATTTAATTGTGCAGTCAGATATGTATTTTATCATATATATATACATTTATTAAATTACAATTTTTATGGCTAAAATGTTTGAAATCTCTGGAAGCTGGAGTCTAGAAAGTCTAGAACTTGGACATCTCAAATGTGCCAAGTGTAAAAATAGGTAACATATGTTAAGTGTATACATGTTTATTTGTCCTATGTCTCTTTCATAGATCCCAGTAATCTGCCTCAGCATCACTCTTGAGTAAGATTTATCACACATATTAGATGCATAAATACCAAACAGAGGTCTACGGGTGCATTCACACCAGCCCTGTTAGGTCTGCTTTCATCTAATTTTAGTTTATCTGGAAAGTCTGATTTGTTTGGGGAAGTGTGAATGTGCAATCCTTCTCTGATGCAGACCAAAAAGGCAAATTCTGGTCCGCCTAAAAACCTAGATCTCAGCTTGGGTGAACTCTGGTGTAGTTTGAATGCATATGAATGCCAAGCGGACCAGAGGCTGCAACAAAAGCAGAAAGTGGACTACTGCACAGGCAATTATTGGTAAATTCACCAAAACACACGCAAGACTCCTATGCCAGAGGGAGATGGTTTGTGGTCTTTTACCAAGACAAAACAGAAATCATACAACCGTTAAAATCTGACACTACTCTGTTTTTGTTTGCATTTCACGAAGGAAGTTGTGCTCATGTCTTCTTCAGAAGTTTTTGTGTCGTTTCCTTCAGTGGTTCTTGGTGCAGCGCCACCACAGGCGAGGGAGGGAACCGGTTTTTCAAAGGGTTTGGTTTGTTTGACAGTGTGGCGTGAAAGCAACCTGCACCAGCTGAAAATGGAACAAATGTTGCCACTTTGGTCCTCAATCGGACAGAGTTTATTGGGCTGTGAGGCGTGAAAACACCCTTTGTTAGATGAGGGTGTGAGGATGTTTGTGCCGAGTGTGGATGGTTGAACTCCTTAACCGATGCCCCAGAAACTGGAGCAGCTTAACCAGTTCCCTGACTTCAACAACTATCTCATCTTTGTCCTCACAAGCCTCAAGTCTGAGGGTATGATTGAGTTTTAAAAAAAAAAACATTTGATTGTCAATATTGCCGACTTTTCTGTTCAGCTGTGCTGTCATGCTAATGTTTCAAGTTCTGTATCTAGCATCCTGCTTCTCACATGGTAAAACGCTGTTTCATCCTCTCTCTCTGAAGATGAACCCACTCGCTCTCTCAGTGGTCTGATTTTGAAGAACAATGTGAAGGCTCACTACCAGAACTTCCCCCCTAACGTGGCGGACTTCATCAAACGAGAATGCCTCAACAACATCGGAGATCCGTCGCCGCTTATCAGAGCTACGATCGGTGAGGGTGTGGCAGAAAGGGGGAAGGTGGGAGGGGTGGGAGAAAAGCAAAAAGAAGAAGTGTTACCCTGTAGTGATTGTGAGTCAGTCTGCCATGTGGGAGGCTGACTTGTTACACAGAAAAGTTGCTGTGTGGGTGCTCGAAACAGTGTTTTGCAGATGTTTATAGCTGTAGAAGGCTGTGTTGTGTTAAATAATCCAGAACTTTCAGCTGCAGGTTTATTTAAATTATTATTTTTTTCTTCGTCGTGAAGGGATTTTGATCACAACCATAGCCTCTAAAGGAGAGCTGCAGACTTGGCCGGAGCTCTTGCCTCAACTTTGCAATCTGCTCAACTCTGAGGACTACAACACCTGCGAGGTACGGCCTCCGCGCGACTTACTGGGACCGGTTTCTGATTGTTAATTTGATTGGATCGCTCTGGTTTCCTCGTTCTTTCAGGGTTCTTTTGGAGCGCTGCAGAAAATCTGTGAGGATTCGTCCGAGCTGTTGGACAGCGACGCTCTGAACAGACCCCTCAACATCATGATCCCCAAGTTTCTCCAGTTCTTTAAGCACTGCAGCCCCAAGATCAGGTTGGTAAACCTCTGTTGTTTTCCTGTCTTGTTCCTTCTCCTTTTTTCAGTCTAATTTAAGTAAGCTCTTGGTTTGGTTTTCCTTTAGATCCCACGCTATCGCTTGTGTGAACCAGTTCATCATTGGACGAGCTCAAGCTCTGATGGATAACATTGATACTTTTATTGAGGTGAGGAATAAAAAGATTTCATCTGGCTCGTTCCGCAGAGTAGAGCGTTTCAGCTGAACTTAGTGTTGAACTGAAGACTTAATTTAACTTTTGGAATGAGATTTTTGGAATACCCAATCCTGGTTTAATATGCTCGGTTTCATATTTATTGAATGGTTTTAGAAAACGAAAGCAGTGAAAGAGTCGCTACTGTCTGTATGAACAGAAAAAAAAACATTTTATGTTTTCTAGATTTGGAGAAGGAGCAAAATCTAAGATGGCAAAGAGGCCAAGCAGAGCATAGGAAATAGTTTTTATCATGCCACTGAATTAAAAACATGACTTCAGGCTTGTTTCAAGATCTCTACTGAATGCTGTTAAGAAAACCCAACTTGGGTTTTCTTAACCCAAGTTATATTTAACATTCTGTTTAAATATCCAGAATGTCATTAAAAAACTTCAGAAAATCGAAAAAAATTGCAGGAACCCTGGACATTGCGTAAAACGTTTACCTTGACTAATGTGGTGGAACGCAGCAGATTAGGTTCCACATTACCCCAAACCTTATTTTACCGTCTTTTTCTCCAGCTCCTCCTTCACTTAATCCATTCATCCTTCTTTTTCTCCTTTCCTTTCGCAGAGTCTGTTTGCCCTGGCTGGTGACGAAGACAGTGAGGTGAGGAAGAACGTCTGCAGGGCTCTGGTCATGCTGCTGGAAGTTCGCATCGACCGCCTCATCCCACACATGCACAGCATCATCCAGGTGAGGCGACCGTTGGATCTTCTGTCACCACCGCCATTGTAGATACGGTCCTCCTCCTCCTCCTCCTCACCCTCACCGCCAGCCGTTGTGTTTCTTTCTGTCTGCAGTACATGCTGCAGCGAACGCAGGACCCCGATGAGAACGTGGCTCTGGAAGCCTGCGAGTTCTGGCTCACTCTGGCTGAGCAGCCCATCTGTAAAGAGGCCCTGTCTGGACACTTGGTCCAGTAAGTCAAGATGTGCTGACAGATGGATTGAGGTAACGAAGGAGGAGCTCACCTGATTTAAACCTGTTTTTTTTTTTTTTTTTAAGACTGATTCCTATCTTGGTGAATGGGATGAAGTATTCAGAGATCGACATCATCCTCCTAAAAGTAAGCAGCTGTTGTTAAATCGAATGCTTCCTCCACACAAACTCTGCCCTTAGAAGAATCTAGTTTACTTCAAACTTAATCCTTATCGTCCTCCAGGGAGACGTCGAAGAGGACGAGACGATTCCCGACAGCGAGCAGGACATCAAGCCTCGCTTCCACAAGTCTCGCACCGTGACTCTGCAACACGAGGGCGGGGAGGGCGAGGAGGGCGAGGACATAGACGATGACGAGGATGATGACGACGACACGTTGTCTGATTGGAATCTTCGTAAGCTTTCACACCGTCTTTCTTCTGCTTTACTTTGTTCGTTTGGGGAGGTGTGAACGTGCAGTCGAGTTCTGATGCGGACCAAAAAAAGCGAGGTCTGGTCCGCCTGAAAACCTAGATCTCAGTTCAGTTGAAGTGAACTCTGGTGCGGTTCAAATGCATATTAAAGCCAAGCGGATCAGAGTTTGCTCCAAAAGCAGGAAGCAGGCTGTGGCGCCGGACAGTCTGGATAAAGGCTTAAAAATCAAACTCATGAATCCATTCCTAGCGGGAGAAATGGCTAGTGTGTTTTTTTTTTTTTTTTTTTCCCAAAGACAAAAAAGAAACCCTACTATCGCTAAAGTCTGACACATTCGTTTACATTTTGCAAAGAAGGACGTTGTGCTCATGCCTTCGTGTCGTTTCCTTCAGTGGTTCTTGTTGCAGCGCCACCACAGGCGAGAGAGGGAACATGTTTTCAAACAGTTTGATTAGTTTGACAGTGCAGTGTGAAAGCGAACCGCACCAACTGAAAATGTAACAAGTGTTGTAATTTTGGTCCCCTATCGAACCGAGTCTACTGGAGTATCAGGTGTGAAAATATCCTTTAACATCTGAAGTATGGAAAATATTTCTATTTCAAAACTTTTTACCTGTCCAGTTGTCTGTTTTAACTGTTTCTTGTTTTTTCCCCTCTGTTTTCATCCATTGTTAAAAAGGAATTACAGTAGGTTTGAATGACAAAATTCTTGATTTTCTCATTAGAAGCCCAAATTATGTTAGATGTTACCATTAATTTTATTGGGCTTTATGGCATAGATCAATAAAACATGGTGAATGACAGTGAAGGACAGCAGAAGCTTTTCACCTATCGGTGCGTCTCTAATCTCGTCCGTCGGTCTCTGACTCCCAGGAAAATGCTCGGCTGCGGCTCTGGATGTTCTGGCCAACGTGTTTCGTGAGGAGCTGCTTCCACATCTCCTGCCTCTGCTCAAAGGCCTGCTGTTCCATCCTGACTGGGTCATCAAGGAGTCTGGCATCTTGGTGCTTGGCGCCATCGCTGAGGGTTAGACACAGACTCAAAAATCACATTAAAATATAAATTTTAACATAAAACAGGAAGAAATGTAAGCTCTCGTCCTCTTTTCAGGCTGCATGCAGGGAATGGTTCCCTACTTGCCAGAGCTGATTCCTCATCTCATCCAGTGCTTATGCGACAAGAAGGCTCTGGTGCGCTCCATCGCCTGCTGGACGCTGAGTCGCTACGCCCACTGGGTGGTTAGCCAGCCCCCCGACGCCCACCTCAAGCCCCTCATGACCGAGCTTCTCAAACGCATCCTGGATGGGAACAAAAGGGTGCAGGAGGCGGCGTGCAGGTGCGGCTCTCAGCTTTCCTCTGTGCTCTTCTTCACTTCCTGCTCAGTCGTCTTCCTCACCCATATCCTGTTGGCCACAGCGCCTTCGCCACGCTGGAGGAGGAGGCGTGCACGGAGCTGGTGCCGTACCTCAGCTTCATCCTGGACACGCTGGTTTTCGCTTTCGGGAAATATCAGCACAAGAACCTGCTGATCCTCTACGACGCTATAGGAACGCTGGCTGATTCTGTGGGACACCACCTCAACCAGCCTGTGAGCTCAGCGGTCACACGCACACACACATTCACACACACATTCACGCAGCTTGGGACTGAAACATTTTGCTTTTCGGGTTTTTTTTTTTTTTTTTTTTTTGAAGGAGTACATCCAGAAGCTGATGCCGCCTCTGATAGCCAAATGGAACGAGCTGAAGGACGAGGACAAAGACCTCTTTCCTCTGCTGGAGTGTCTGTCGTCGGTTGCCACGGCGCTGCAGAGCGGCTTCCTCCCGTACTGCGAGCCTGTGTACCAGCGCTGCGTGACCCTGGTCCAGAAGACGCTGGCTCAGGCCATGGTGAGCCGCGTCACAGCATTTTACCGTAACACGCTGATTTTAATAATCGGGGTTCGTATGGGTGCTTGAATTTCAATCAGGTTTTTTCAGGGTTTGGAACGTGTTTGAAATACTTGATATTCAAACTGCAGTTAAGTTATTAAGTCCATAATAGAGAATTGTAGCTGTCATTTTTGTTTCATTTCTATTGTTTCTGTTGGCAAAGTGTGGTGCTGGAAATGTTTGGAAACTTACCTTGAAAGTGCTTGAAGTTTACTGGGTTAAAGCGTGTGAAGCCTGTATAGTTGCATGAAATGAAAACCGCTGTGTTGGCGTTTCTCAGATGTACAGTCAGCAGCCAGACCAGTACGAAGCACCAGATAAGGACTTCATGATTGTGGCCCTGGATCTATTAAGCGGCTTGGCTGAGGGCCTCGGGGGCCACGTCGACACGCTGGTGGCCCGCAGCAACATCATGACCCTGCTGTTCCAGTGCATGCAGGTGAGAGTGGATTTCATCACCTTCGCATCCCATCTAGTCTGAGAAAGCAGCTTCAGGTCTTTATGATGTGGAATTATGAAAAATGTGCTCATATCTTCTCTTTCTATAATTTTTATTATAGAAAGAGTGTTTAAACTCCTTCACGTTTTGTCGCATTACAACCACAGCATTTTTTTGATTTGGGTTTTTACGTGAAAGACCAAAGCAAATTGTTAGACACTTGTGAAGTAGGTGGTCTTTAGGGGCATCATTCGGCAGTGGTGGAGCAGGAACATTCTCATAGTGGTGATCAGGCGTGTACTGATGTGGTGGCCAACAATTAATTGGCACTAGGGCCACTTCGGAGAACAACATCCACATTTTCCAAATAATTCACTAAATACAGAAAATATTTTCTGGAAGCTGATAAATAAATGCCATCACCGCTGCCTCCAACTGTTTTGGAGGGGAACTGCTTGTTCTGGTGGCCTACTGGTGAGTTACCTCCATATTGCAACAACCAATTGCCTGGCCGGGGGGTCCAATGATTGTCCAGGGGTTAGGGGCCATGGCCACCCCATAGGAACCCCCCTGGCTCTGAGTAGGTCTTGACCAAGCTCTACTCAAGCTCAGTCAAATTAAGCAGAGAGCATCTATCTGCCACAGATTCTTACATAAATCTGCATCCATCCATCTTGTTGAGATTTATTGATGCTCTAATTGAACAAATAAAGAAGAAAATAGTAAAACTAACAATCCTGACAATGTCGACAGTTGTGGGAGGTTTTAAACTTTATTAATCGTAAGCTGTTGTGACAACGATAAATCATAATTCTTATCATGACAAGAAGCTTATCATGATAAATGATAAACAATACGATAAATGCCCACCGCTAGGTTCAAGGCACGTTGAAGGCTTTTGAGAGATACAGTTTTGTCCCCAGATTCGTTTACTTGGTGTAGAAAAATATACAACTGAGTTTTTCCAGGTTTACATATAGAAGCAGACAGACTGACCTACCCTTCCCTATTCTGCAAGGTTGGTCCATCCATCCATTTATTGTTCTGTCCGCCATGCGTTTGTCCATCCATGATGTGAAAATATGTAGGAAACCTGCATATTTTCGGCTCTGATCAGTCCCAGGTAGTCAGTGGATGTGCCATTAACCCATTTCAGGTCAGCAGATTTTGTTTATGTCGGCCTTTGTTTGTGTGATTTTGTTTCAGGATACGATGCCTGAGGTGAGGCAGAGTTCATTTGCTCTGCTGGGTGACCTGACCAAGGCCTGCTTCCCTCACGTCAAACCGTGTATCGGTAACTATCTCCTCCTCTTCCTCCCTAACACCCACACTCAGCATATTAAAGGCACTTGAGAACAACTTCACATTGTGGGTTTTTTGTGAAACGTGACCTTAAAAAGTTAGGAAAAAAAATTACACAAATCTGGATGATTATTTTTTTTAATGACATCTTTGTCCTTTAGCTGAATTTATGCCGATCCTCGGGACAAATCTGAACCCAGAATTCATCTCCGTGTGCAACAACGCCACCTGGGCCATAGGGGAGATCTGCATGCAGATGGGTCAGTACCAGTATCTCAATGCTCCTAGTTTAAACTTTAGATGTTGTGTGTCTGACCTTGTTCTTTCTTCTCCCATCAGGAGTGGAGATGCAGCCATACATAGCTATGGTTCTGAACCAGCTGGTTGAGATCATTAACCGACCCAACACACCCAAAACCCTGCTGGAAAACACAGGTGTGTAGACGTTCGCTCCTCATGTACTGCTCCCAGCTAACACCTTTGTTACTCGCTTAACGCCGTCTGCGCTCCTGTTGCAGCCATCACCATAGGCAGACTGGGTTACGTTTGCCCTCAGGAGGTCGCCCCCATGCTGCCGCAGTTTATCCGACCCTGGTGGGAAGCCTCGCCTTTCGCACAAATCGCAGCTGTGAGAAAACGGTAGAAATCTGCTGCTCATTGCTCTCTTGTTGACGTCCTCCAGGTGCACGTCTCTCCGCAACATCCGAGACAACGAGGAGAAAGACTCTGCCTTCCGAGGGATTTGCATAATGATCGGTGTGAATCCTGGAGGCGTGGTGCAGGTGAGGCGTAGTCCGCTGCAGATGTACGTGTCGCCCAGTTACCGTCTGTCGAATTACACCTGCTGCACCTTTTTCTGATGCTCAGGATTTCATCTTCTTCTGTGACGCCGTGGCCTCCTGGGTGAACCCTAAAGATGATCTGAGAGACATGTTCTACAAGGTATGTAGCAGGATAACCCAGGCAAGATTCAACATCTTATGTCGCATTCTGCAGTTGAGGGATTAACCTGCAAACACAAACCTCCGCAGATGAATAGGCCTGTCACAATAACACATTTCACTGGTTTATTGTCCCAGAAGTTATTGCAATAAACAGTAATGTTGTTGCCTTGTCACCATTTTCAAGTAGTGTAAGAATGCAAGTTCCCTCTCTCACTAATAAACTTTAACTTTGTGCACAAAACTCCACACTGAACTTGAATAAATTTAGGTCTTAAATTTAATTCAT